GTTACTATGTTGGACACTTGATTTACTTCTATTCTTTTGTGTTTAACATCAGTGGCTCATATTTTCATCTGAATCCAGTTCTTAAGCTTATTAGTGTTCTCATTGCATTAAATTCCAAATGATCTGTCATTCTTGTTTTGACTTTTTGACCTAAGTTGTTTAATTTTGAAATGTTTCTGATGTTTCTCATTTAAACTATTATTGATTCCTAATTTATCTGCGTTATGGTCAGGAAATGTGGTCCAGATAATTTGCCTGTGACTGAGAAGAATGTATGAAGACCGCCACTAATGACTCTGTCCATTTTCCTTGAATTTCTAACATTATATATGTTGACAGTGTTATTCATCAGATATATATATTCACAAAAGTTTCATATTTGTCGCAAATGGTAGCCTTTATCAATGCAATAGACTGTTGTTTTAAATATAGGAAAGTAGAAAGAAAAATTAAGAAAACAGCAACTTGAACTCCTACTGCAAACTCCCTGGTGATCTGGTGCTTTGGGCCCCACAACATGGAAACGTTAAGCACCAGAATGGAAAACATCAACAAAGGAGTTTATACCATAAGGTCCCAAAATTAATTCTCCAAAACATCCCACTGCCATCTCATTTGAAGTGTTCAAAACATTTTTTTAAGTACGTTACTCTGAAATAGCTTGCTTATATTAATTACAATTCCACAGAAATATTTTCTGAGGTGGGGAGAAGGTGGCAGAATGAGGCAGGTGAAAAAAACTCATATTAAATAATGTTTATAATATGGATATGGTTGGTGGTTGCCATAACTTATCAGCGTCCAGTATTTCAGTATGCCCTGCCATTTTTAAGTACGTAAATATTGGTATCTATTTGCCATTATTCAACAATAATATAGTTTTTTTCTCATGATATATGCAGAGTCACACATGAAAATTTTGAGCTATACAAAGGCACTATGACCTATTCCTTCCCTTTTAAAAACGCTTCCAAGCTACATTCTTACTATTTGCTTCTAAAATGTCCCTTTCTTCAGTCATTACTGTGAGTGAACAGTTGTCCCTAGAGTAACCAGTTATCTGGATTTCTCCAAGAACCAGTCTGGGCCCCATCTATTTTCAGAAGTTCTTGGTATAACCAACTTTTACCTATGGGACAGGTGGAGGGTCAAGGGAGGGAGTTGCAATAGGGAGCAGGGAGGAAGGGAAGGGGTGCCACACTTAGTTCCCAGCTTGCCCGCCTCCACCTAGCCCCAGAGCCAAATTCCCTTGCACCTCCTGCCTTTCGTCTTCCATCTTTATTGTCTTAAAACCTGACTCCTCCCCTAGGATAAAATTTATTTCCTCAGGATCTTCTTTCCTCATCATCTGACCTGTACAAACACTAGCCGGAAGCCACGGTCAGTGCTAGACCCTGGTCATCTCTCAGGTAGGTGAGGACCAAGTGGAGAAGACGGCCCACTTTTTAACCAAACACTGTCAGTGTTTCAGTGTGAGACCAAATACATACTGAGAAGTTAACACTGTCGCTCTGCTCTGATATTACAACCAACAGTTATAGTAGAACTGAAAACTAAGTATTTTGGGTCAATTCAAATTCAACTCTTAAGCTACCTCTGGACCAGTTGACTGAAAAATTATTGCCCAATCCAGTCTAGACATGGACCGAAGTAGCCAAAGATGTGAATATTAAGGAAAAGAGATTGTGATCTATTGATCTTTTGTTTTTTTAATTTTTGTATTTTTTTACTCTCTAGAATCTCTAGGTTTGGTCTAGGGAAATTAAGTTGATTCAATCTAAAATGGCTTTACTTGACTATAAGAAATTTCCTATTTGGCCATAGCCTACCTCCAAATAAAGTATCCCCAAAAGGCAATAGAGTTGTCACACAATTGTCCAGAACATAATATCATTTGAAAATCATGGCCAAGAGGCCTGATCCTTTATAAACAAACTTCTCAAATATGATGTGCACACCAGGTCCAGGCTTTTTGTTTAGTGGCTATAACCAAATCTGACATCAGACGAGAGAGAGGGACACAAACAAAAGCAAGTTCTCGAATTGAACTTTGAGGCACAACCCACACCTGAGTTTTCATGTGCAGACAGAACTCAGGGCCATCTTCCACTAACAACTTAAACAAGGAAAGCAGCTCTGTGCGCTTAACCGGTCTCTCCGGCCTCAAACACTTCCAGCTTCAAATTGGTTCCCTCTCACAACTGGTCACATATATAAGCAGTACTCCCTGGGGTCAGAAGAGTATTCGTATATAGAAAAGATGGTTAATTAGCAGACCCATCTCTTTTATGACATCGTAGTTATAAAATATCAAAATAAAAAGTATAAAAATGAGAAATTTTATCAAGTAATTTTGGCCACAAGACTAAAAAGTCGCTCTGCAATCACTTCCTAATTTCACTGAAGTTATGGCATCACTTGGTTTTAAGCCAAGAAGGAAAAAAGCTCTCTAATCCATTGCATGATTACAAAACTTTGGAGTCTAACCGTTTGCACTTCCCAGCTAACACCTTACCTTCACCTAACCCGGATAGAAACACTTCCATCTGGCTGAAATATATGAAC